CACATCTAGGGACGGGCTCTGGCTGCTCCCCGCTGCCACGGCTGGAGCCACAGGGACCCCAAACCGTCCCCGGTGCCTGCCCCACCGGTAACAGCAACGGCAACCTGGCTACCAAATGGCAACCCGGCTACTGAACGGCAACCCGGCTACCTAACGGCAACCCGGCTACCTAACGGCAACCTGGCTACTGAACAGCAACCCGGCTACCTAATGGCAACCTGGTTACATAACAATAATTTGGCTACTTAATGGCAACCCAGTTACCTAACGACAACCCGACTACCCAGCTACAACCTGGCTACCTAATGGCAACCTGGTTACCTAACGACAACCAAGCTACTTAACAGCAACCCGGCTACCTAACAACAACCTGGCTACTTAGTGACAACCCAGTTACCTAATGACAACTTGGCTACTGAATGGCAACCTAGTTACCTAACAATAACTTGCCTACTTAATGGCAGCCTGGTTACCTAACAACTTGGCTACTTAACAGTAACCTGGTTAACTAATGACAACTTGGCTACTGAATGGCAACCTGGTTACCTAACGACAACTTGGGTACTTAATGGCAACCCAGTTACCCAATGGCAACCTGGCCACTTAACAGCAACCCAGTTACCTAAGGGTAACATGGTTAATGACAACTTGTCTACTTAATGGCAACTTGGCTACTTAATGACAACCTGGTTACCGCAGCAGGGCCCAGGGACAGACCCAGGCCCCAACGTGGCTCCCGCAGTTAGAGGCCAAGGGCACGCATCCCGCTGGGGGTTAAGTGTCATTTTATTAAACAGCAATTAAAAAGAGTGCAGAGGCCCAGGGGAGGGGCGGGGGCCCCCCCCACGCGCTGCGGTGGCTTCTGGCCGCTGCCCTCGGCCTGGCAGGACCCAGACGGCCCGTCGGGGGCCACGAGTTTCTGCCCCTCCACGAGCTTGGCAGCTGCTGGCACACGAGGTGCTGGTGAGAGCGGGAGGAAACACCCCCTCGGCAGGACAGACAGGACGTTCCAAGCTGGTATTTGTCTGCCCAAGATGTCCCCAAATACCCAGTTGCAGGAGAAAAAGAGTAGAAACCGCAGCCCAAAGAGGCACCTCAGCTGAGAATTGGCCACCAAACTATTTACACTCCGTCCAGGCATCCTGGTGCACAGCCCGGGCACACACACAGGCCCGGCTGAGAGCAGCCACAGTGCCACAGGGAAAAGAAAATTCACCCTTTGGAAAGAACAGACGAGCAGCTCCAAAGCCCGAGACCCACACAAACAGGACGGACAGACAGCATCAGCCCCCCACCAGCCCTCACAGGGAAAGAGCTGGCTGGGATTGGTGTCTTTTATAAATAAGCTAAAGCTAATTAGTTTATTCACAGGGCCAAGGGCTTTAAGACGTTGCCGGACTCAAAAGCCTGAAGGAGGCCGCGCGGGCCGATCCCCGGCGCGCTGCTTTGAAACGGGCTCCTGGCGAGGGCCGAGCTCCACCGGCCAAAACGGAGCCTCCGCTGAGCACCGAGCTCCAACGTCGTGCAAAAGGGAGACCCGAGAGAGCAGCAGCTTCCTCCCAACGCTGCCCAAACGCTGAACTGCAGCCAAAACCCGCTGGGGACACCAGCTGCACCCAGCAAGGGGCGCTGCTCGTGGCAGGTCCCCGGAGCAGGGCTCCCCGTGTGGCTCACAGGGTGCTCTCCAGCGTGTTGTAGTTGTCCTTGAAGCTCTTCAGCTCCAGAAAGTGTTTGGCACGTTTGCTCTTCTGGTTGGAAGGCAGGTAGGTGACCTGGATGGTGGCGGGGTTGGAGACTTCAGGGGACAGGGTGAGGTCCTTGGCCGCCGACTGGTGCTGCCGCTGGCTGCTGCCTCCCCGGGCCTTGGTCCTGCAGAGAGGGGAGACACCGTCACAGCTGCCACCCTCTCCGGGGAGCCGCTCAACCATGGAGTCTGACACAAGGCAGATCTGCCCTCAGGGTGACGGCGCTCACTGCCACCGGTTTGAAAACCAACGTGGGGCTCCTGCGGGCCTAGAGCCCGCACAGGGTCCCTGGCTCAAAGCAGCCAGTGCAAGCAGGAACGTGGACTGTGAGGAGGGGCTGAGGGAACTGGGGGGGTTTAGTCTGGAGAAGAGGAGGCTGAGGGGAGACCTCCTGGCCCTCTGCAACTCCCTGCCAGGAGGGGGCAGAGAGGGGGGATGAGTCTCTGGAGCCAAGGCCCCAGCGCCAGGCCCCAAGGGAATGGCCTCAAGCTGCCCAGGGCAGGGTCAGGCTGGCTCTGAGGAAGGATTTCTGTGCAGAAGGGGCTGTTGGGCGTTGGAATGGGCTGCCCAGGGCAGAGGGGGAGTCCCCGGGATCCCTGGGGGGGTTGAAGAGTCGGGCTGAGCCAGTGCTGAGGGATCTGGGAACGGTAAGGGGAAGGTTCATGGTTGGGCTGGAGGAGCTTCAAGGGCTTTTCCAACCAAGAGGATCCTGGGATTCTGTAACCAACCCAAAAATGCACTAACAGAGAGGCTACAAGTAGTAATTAAATCTGGAAGGACAGACAGGCATAAACCGCCCATGTCTCAGAGGCTGGGATTTGTCCCAAAACCTGTCTCTGTTCACAGCTCCACGATGGGCTGCGGGGGCCCAAGAAGCCACCACTGTACCCCAGCTCCACACTTACAAGTTTGCCAGCTCGTTCAGAGCATCCTGGTACTTCAGATATTCCATTTTCCCAAAGACCTGGACGCAAACAGAAAAGACTGTGGAAAATCCAGCTGAGGTTACAGCGTGACCTCAGTCCAGCCATCAAGGCTGTAGCAGAGGAACCGCTCCCTGAGCTGCTGCAGGGGCCTGGTGACGCCGCACCGGCGCTTACCCCGGTGCCGTAGCGGGCGCTCTCGTACCCATCCAGTAAGGTGTCGATCAAGGCTTTGCGGATGCCTTTGAAGGAGGTGCTGGAATTCCGCAGTTCCAGCAGGTAGGCACAGAAGTTCTTCCCTATTAAAGATTTCGGGTACCGGCCCTCTGTGTGAAATGGGATTTCTAGAAAATAAAAAGGCACAACACAACTGGCTGAAGTGCAGGTAAAAAAGGCCATTGAATGACTCGAGTGTGGCCAGAGAAGGGCAACGGAGCTGGGGCAGGGTCTGGAGCACAGGTCTGCTGGGGAGCGGCTGGGGGAACTGGGGGGGTTCAGTCTGGAGAAGAGGAGGCTGAGGGGAGACCTCCTGGCCCTCGGCAACTCCCTGCCAGGAGGGGGCAGAGAGGGGGGATGAGTCTCTGGAGCCAAGGCCCCAGCGCCAGGCCCCGAGGGAATGGCCTCAAGCTGCCCAGGGCAGGGTCAGGCTGGCTCTGAGGAAGGATTTCTGTGCAGAAGGGGCTGTTGGGCGTTGGAATGGGCTGCCCAGGGCAGGGGGG